GCACCAGAATGAATGCACACCGGAAATCTATCAAAGACAGAAACCCTCAATTACCGGTGGGGGCACATTTCTCACAGGAGGGCCACTCTCTCTCCAATCTCTCAGTCCTGATCCTCAAGGGAAACTTACACAACACTTCCCAGAGACGAGCCTATGAGCTCCATTTCATCAACCTGCTGGATACTAGAGATCAGGGACTAAACATAGACATTGGATTTTTGATACATTATAATCGGCCTGGCAACTGACTCCCCAGCCCAGCCCAGCCCAGCCCAGCCCCTGGCTTCTTTACTTTTCATTCCATCCAGGAAGAGCACACACCAACTGCTGAAGCTTCCTTAGCCTGACGAAGGGTTTTTGAACCCGAAAGCTTGCTTAATAACTATTCTCCAACCATTTGGGTTGGTCTAATAAAAGATACCAAATTCACCCAAGGAACCTTGTCTGCCTATGTCTTATTTGAGAGCATTTGGACATAGGGAAAACATGGTACTATTATGGGAAAATACCTTCTAATCCATTAGTAACATAGATAGTTAAACAACCTAAGAAACATGTTTAAATTAGGTCCTCAAAACTTAAACCCAAGACTTGGTTAAGGAGCTCTCTAGCCCACAGATGTTAACTTTCTTTCCTTTTTTTCTTTAAATAGAGTCTGCAATACCAGGGAAATCTGCAACACAAAGAAAGAAAAGTGGGTAAAATATCAAGATAGAGCAATGGATAAATGAGCATCAAAATTAGTGGGATAAGAGGAGAAAGAGAATATTAATATTGAGCAAAGCAGTAGTCAGGTAGGTGATATAGTCAAAGGAAGGACTGTATCTAATCTCGGTAGGAATTTGGGTGAAGTCAAAGTAACAACTGAGATATTTATAAACTAATGCAAAAAGTCTAGTGAATAAAATGGAGGAACTGGAATTACTGGTGCAAGATGTGAAACTGGTGATTGAGTGGATAACAGAGAGAGTGGAATAATTATAACTGGAATGCAGGTATTAAATGTATGTTCTGTTTGGGAAAGATGGAAACAGGTAAAGGTGATGGGATGGCGTCATACTTTTTTTAACAATCTACTGTTCTGTTAATGTAAGTGATAGAGTGACTAAAACAGAATCTTTTACGGCCAAATTCACTTCAGGGAAAGATAGCGTTAGGGCTTGTCACCAGCTGGGTTTGCATAGGGACAGAGGTCATTCTACAAAATACTGCCATGAATTGTATGAACATGGGAAATGAGCTCAGATGCAGGTTGGAGGGCAAATACTACTAAGCATGGCAGGCCCTATTCCTGAAAAAGAGCCAACAGTTACCTTTCAGCAGATAGTCAATAAAATAAGAGGTGAAGATATTTTAGACATGACTTTCATATGTCGAGAGGAGATTACAGAAGAGATGTTTGTAGAAAACAAACTTGGGTCAAGTGTTCCTGAACTGATTCCATTTAAATTAAATGGAACAATAAGCAAAAGTTACCAGCTAAGGTTTTTAATTTCCAAAGGATAAACATTGTGAAATAAAGGTCCTGAACTCTTCAATCCAGGCCATTGGAGCGCATAGGAGGTACATGCACCCACTGACTGCGCTGGTGCACCCCTTGATGGCTGTGCTCGCTGCTTAGGTGATGGGCAGGTGGGAGTGCCGGTGTGTGCCTC